ACCACAGCAAGACAGTACCACAGAAAACACACAGGAAAATAAAAGCCTCTCCTCCCTAGAAACCACAAACACTGCGCACTCTCTCTCTCCAGCCACATGTTCTAGCCTTATCCCTTTCAGAAGGTTCTACCCCAACCAACTCCACCCAGCAGCCAATTTCTTTGTGAGGCAGAAGGGATGAAGCAAGTAGTTGGGCTGGGGCCCACCTGAGTACACAGTTGTGTTCACATACTTACAATGCTAATTTAACAAATTTCAGGTGAATAAAATCTCTTCAAAATTTGAGAAAATAAACATTTTATTATTTGTAAGTAAAAAGGATTAGTAAAGTTGTTTATTCTTATTTGTACCAAAGATTTTTGTGTTATGCTTTTTATGCTGTTTGATAAGGGGCTCATTAAAGAAGATGTGGTAGATAACTATCACATCATGGCTGATTTGTGTGGTAAATCCTATAGGTAAAATTCTGAATTGTTTCTATTCTGGGTGTGGAAAGCATCAGTGACCTTGAATGCTTGTAAGCAAATGTCAGTAAGATGTTAAAGCAAGTTCCTCTGCAGAGTGGAGGAAGTAATATGTGCTAAGTGTTTTTGTCTTTCTGCATTTGCTTATTTTTTGGTTGTTTCTTTTTCTGTTTTTATGTACAAGGCATTGGCTACCAAATGAACTAAGGTTTGGCTTGTTGTGGCAAATTCTGAAGGTAGTAGTACTTCTGGGATTTGAACTCCAAAATTGTTTAGAGCTATAGTTTTGAAATGATTATCTCATACTTCCTAAGATTAAACTTTCTGTATCCAACACGTATAATGCATCAGTACCTAATGTGCTGTGGAGAAAATTGAAATTATGGACAAAAGAGAGATGGTGGAACATCTCATGGTGTATTAACTAAATTCTATGTGTTCAATGATCCCCAGACCAAAATAAACAATTATACAGCAGCACAGTAGACTGATACACACTAACTCAAGTTCAGAAAATGTGTAATGTAGGGTCTTTCAGCTGGTGCTATGTAGAGGGGGAGGCCTATGGGCCTCCTGGTAGTATCTAGGAAGGGAGAGAAGATCTGCTTACATCAAAACTGCTTAAATTTTTTCCACAACTATTTTGCTGGGGAAGCACACAATTTTTACAGACAGTACATTGTTAGTCAAGCTTCATACCCTTAACCTGAAGATAACCTTTGGCCTGAAGTGTTTCTGTATGATCTGTCAGATGGTGAATCTAACAGAGAATGCCAGGATTATCCAACACTGATGTAATGAGTTTGTTGATTGGGAAACTCAAATCAATTTCATTTACTGAGCCTGAAAAGTAATCAGGAAAGATCATGGCTTCCAGGTTAAATACCTTTGCTCTACTTTATACTGTTTTAAGTTAATTTTTCTAGTAGCCAGAATGACCAGAATAGGTAATCTTTAACCCTTACCATTGACTAACAAGGGTCACATAGTTTTTGCTGTTGTGATATAAATTGTCCTAGCACTAAATGTATTTCACTTTTGTTTGTTATAGTGTAGCAATGATGCTAGTAAAGTGATCTTCCTTTAATTTTCATGGAAGTTGTTGCCCCTTCAATATTATTAGAATTCCAGATAGAAAGGTAAATACTATTTTTGCCTGCTTTCGGTCCAAGATTTCCTGCAGTAATTATATGGTCGTATCTGAAACTGACAAAGATCAGCATAGCTTCACTGAAGTTAATAGATTATAGCAAAGGGAAAATTCAGATATGTTATTCAGTGCATGTCAATTTAGAAGTAAAAGGATTTGACCTAAAACTTTGACTGTGATTAATCTGAAAGTTTTAAGCCAAGTAAGCTATGCCCATAGCTAGAAGGTTGTAAAGTGCTTTTACAGATGAATTAGCCAACTCTAAGTCAGTTTAATACTAAGAGTATTGAATTATATGTTCATTAAAGATAGAGCTGGGGTAAAAAGCCATAGAGTTCTTGCATACGAATGGCCATTATTGCAACAGTTAGTTTCTGAGGCTGGAATCCAAGGAAAGAGAATCTCTAAATATCTGATCCACAGGACTACAGAATGGGAGTCTCTTTGGACTGGTGTCTCTGTAGTTTACATCTCTACATTTTACAGAGTCACATTTTTCAGGTCAGAATCTATTGCTCCAACTCTCTTGCTGAAGGTCCAGTTGTCCATCTCCCCCAGAATTTGGTGAATTAGTAGAATAGCATGAAGGGTTTGGCCATCCTAATGGGCAAGAGAAAGCTCTTCCCACTCTTTTCTCCCTACTTACTCTCCATGCACAGCATGGTCCTCTGTGCTATTTTTTCTTTTAATGGAAACTTTATACTATTCTGATTTTGAATGTAGAATAAAAAGAACAAAAATTTATTCAGGGAAGCCTCTTTTAGGCCACGTAAAGGAACCCTTATTTGAACATCTTCAGTTTGAGATAAATTATGTGCTTTTAAAAATCTACTCTAAGTAGCACAAAGCAATTGTGCATTTTAAGGCCTTTCAAATAGGCTTTCAAAATGAGCTTTCTTGAAATCATAATGAATTTATGCTCAAAATTAGCCAGCTGCAAAGAAGGGTTATTCTGCCAAAGAGATTATGCCACTCACAAACACTTGTAGGCCTGTATCATTTTTTAACTGAATGAAACAATTCTCCCAATGTACTAGTGAGATTTTTGTATTGTGCACAGAATATTTAACCCCTTATTTGCCAAAATTGATTTTCTTCTTAATTTAAGAATTTAATACTTAAGATATTGCAGAACCAAACTTTAGTTTCTTACTGTTTGTTAAATCTTCCCAGTGAGAAAAGCTTCCCAGAATGGAAAGCCCTGTTTTTATGGGGGCTACTCCAAAAGTAATGCCTCCTATTACTGTGTTGGCACACAACATGGGCAGTGGTCTTTCACAGCAATGTGAAAGACAAGCCATGTTCTAGATATTCATGTGCAGCTGTCACACCACGAAATGAAGTATGTCTTGATCAGCTCATCTGCATGTATCAGCCAATGGTGGTAACTATGGTGAAAAAAATGGTGTTTTGTAGCTGAGAATTTGCTCTGTCAAATAGTGTTATTGTGTTCTTTTTATCTGTTGTAGTTTCCATGAAAATAAATAGGAGGCATTACTTTCAGAGTGACCTATGTCCCTCTGTGGTAAATTATCATTCCTTCAGTTTTGGGGTTCTTTCAATCTTTCTACTTGGAAAAAATTCCTCAGAGTTCTATTTCATGTTTTATATCCTCAATATTTTATACAATAAAAATGACAGGAAAGAACTCTTGTGTGGACCAAATTTCAGTGTTGACATTAGTTAACAGGAGCTGTGCACGTAAAGCAGAGTCAGAGAATCACAGAATTCTTTAGCTCAGAAAAGACCAAAGGGCCCACTTCTCTGCTTTGAGCAACGCTACCTTTGAAGTCATACTGAACTTCAAAGTTAGATAGTTTTGATTTGAGTCATACCTACATATTTTCAAGGGAAGAGTTTGGCCCTTGAATGAATGTGCAACATGTATTGCATTATTTGTCCTTGTGTTACCTTTGCTGACATTTAAACAAAACAATGCTTTTTTTATATTTTTTTTTTTTTTTTTTTTTTTTTTCAGGAATTTCCAAATAATTTGGCATTTAATGTCAAAGAATTGTACCAAAACCAGTCTGCAACAGTAATGAATTTTGCAATGCTGTTTCAGACTCCCATCGGTGGCTCCATGTGTAGTAAGCAGTATTTCACTTACAGTGGCAGATTGCCATTTTGAGGACAGCTTTTATTCAGAAACACAACCCCAGAAACACCGAGTAAGTGATGTTTCCTCTGTGATTAAAAGTAGTACATTTTAGTTTTTCTCTGCTATTTTTTTGGAGAACATAGTGGCATTTTGTTTTATTTTTAGTTGAGGTTTTTTTTTGAGCTCTCATTTTCAATAAGCATATTGACAGACACCTCCTGTAGATGCATCTCTGCATTTTCAGAATGATGTGTTGTTTGCACACAGGATTCTGGTATAATTCTATAGGTGACTTGAAGTATTTTCCCCAGACCTCGTTATACTATTTAAATGGACTTTGAACCACCACTACTGCTATTGCTGCTGCTACCACTGTTAATTCCATCTTATTTATACTGCATGTATATGTCCCAGCTGAGACACTTTTCACTGAAAACAAGCAATCTAGGACTGTGATCTTATAAAACTCTTAATTTCAGTACCTTTCTCCAATACCCCATCACATAGCACAAAGGATGAAGCATGTGCTTTCTTTTCTGGTCTCATTCATTCTTTTCTTTCCTCCCAAATACCACCTGTTCACATTACTCATTTGTGCTTTGTGTTAATTAAAATCTTTAACAAAACTGAAAATGGTACAGTGATGCAGTCAGATCATCTACATTAGGTAATAACGTTGCTTTTACAACTAAGGTTAGAAAAATGTGTCACTGTATCCCTAATAATGATACATTGTGGAGTTTTTTATAAGGTGAAAAAACTATTCTTGAAATATAAATGTAGTTATAAGACTGCTAAAAACCTCTAAATACAGCTCCTTAATTGCACTGAAAGCGTAGTTCAGCACTTTTTTCTTTTATGTGTGTCATCTGCTGTTATTAATTGTGTCATTGGTGTATCTGAGACTGATTAGGCAGAGTTTTAGGAAATGGTAGGAAACAGTGCTTGATATGACAAACTTACAGTCCACTGAAAGGAGAAAAGACATGCCATAAACGGGTAAATATGAGGGTGTTCTAGTGGCCTTGTATATCAGTTTTGATTTTGCTTTTTCCATTACACAGTATTGTCTTACGTGTCCAAATCTATTATGTTCATGAAGGGAGAGCTCTGATACTTGGAGTTCATATTGAGTTAGTAGCTCACATGGCAGGGCACTAAGATTCTGCCAGCTTCAGAAGTGAGGGGTACTCATTCCAACTGACCCTTGAAGCAGAATGGTAAGCACTCAATGTTTAGCTAAGGCTGCAGCTCTGGCAGGAGGGTATGCACCACCTACCTGGGACATGACCAGTATCTCCACTCAGAGCTGCTGAAGGAAGAAGCATCTGTGCAGACCCTGGTCTGTGACTGGACCTTTCTCCTGGTTCAGAGGTGACTGGCAAACTCATCTATGTAAGATGTGCCCAAGTGGAGGAACTTCTGTAATAATTGACTGACCTGCAGGAGACAGTCAAAAGGCTGTGTACTACCATGGAGACAAAGATAGAGTCAGCCAAATTCACATGCAACCTGCATTGAATCCACAGTCTGGGGCCAAACAGCCCCAAACTCCCCCACTGGCACATCCAGTTGGAGGAGAAGTGATGAGAAATGGCAAATTGCTGTGAGAAAAACTAGCAAGAGGAAAAAGTCTGCCTCAAAGCCTGAGGTACCTCCACAGAATTGCTTCATGGTTCTGCAGACTGAGAAGGAAAAAGAAACAGCAAGTGGTAAGTCATCAGAACTGAGTAAGGCAGCCAGATCTGCTCCCCACTGCATAATAACTATGGCAACTAAGGAAAAGTGACAGGTGATAGTGGTGGATGATTCTGAGGGGTACAGAGGCACCCATTTGTTGCCCTGACCCGCTACCTAGAGAAGCCTGCTACTTACTTGGGGCCTGCGTCAAGAATGTGAAAGAGAGGCTGCCAGACCTCGTATGTCCCACAAACTACTAACTCCGCTGCTGCTGTTTCAAATAGGCACCAGTGACACAGCTGTTAGCAACATCAAGAGAGACTACAAGGAGCTGGGAGCAGCATTGAAGAACTCAGGAGCACAGGTAGTCTTCTACCTTGGATGGGGAGGGAAAAGGCTGATAGAATTAAGAAAATCAATAAATGGTTAAGGGTACAGTGTCATGAACAGGGCTTCAGCTTCAATGAAGAAGACTAAAGCCCACCTGGAATTAAATCTGACAAAAGAAATAAAGGATAATAAGAAAGGCTTTTTAAAGTATGTTAACAGTAAAAGAAAGACTAGGGAAAATGTGGGTCCCCTACTAAATGAGGGGGGTGTTCTGGTAATGGGGTGTATGGGAACTGCTGAATCACTGCCTGAACCTCTGATTGACTACCTGAGGCAAGCAATGAGTCAGCCACAGGAGTACAGGTGGGTGAAGGCAATTCACCTGTGCTGCCAGAAGGGGTGGAGTCTGGCTCCACCTCTCCTAGATCCCATTTAAGTGCTGACTGCCACTGAGGAAGGATCTCTTCTGGGAGATCGCTCCTTGTGGAGAATGTTGTGAGCCTACTACATTGGAAAGCATTTTCTGTTTATTATCGTCCTGTTGCAATAGTCTTACTTAGCCTAACTTTCCTGTATAGTTCTTAATTATAATGTCTCTATATTCATTGATTATACGTTAGGAGTGCTGAGAAGGTGGAGACACTGAAAACCTTCTTTGCTTCTGTCTTCACTGGAAAAAGATTTTTCACTTTAGAATCTTGTACCCTGGAAGTGAGAGAGTCTGGGGAATGGAAGGCTCCTTTTTGGTGAAGGATGAGATGGTCTGAAAGTGTCTATGTATCATCAGCGTGCATAAATCCACAAACCCCAATAGGATGCATCCATGTGTGCTGAGAGAGAGGTCAAAGGTGATTGCTGAACTGCCCTCTAGGGCTCTAGCCATACCACCCAAGTTGCAGACAGCAATGGTAAGAAATTAAAGAAGATAGATCTACCTGCTGTAAGTGAAGATCAGTTACAAGACCCTCTAAAGAACCTGAAGGTGCACAAGTACCTACAAAAATCCACAAGACCCAACAAAATCCATGTGTGGGTTCTGAGGGAAATGGTGGATGGAGTTGCTAAGCCACTATCCATCATATTTGAAAGGTCATGGCAGTCTGATGAAGTTCTAACTTATCAGAACCTCCGTTTTCAAGAAGGGAAGAAGATAAAGGAAACTACAGGCCAGTCAGTCTCATCTCTGTGCCTGGCAAGATCACGGAGCAGATCCTCCTGAAGGCCCTATTAAGGCACATGGAAAATAAAGACAAGATGATTGGTGGTAACCAACATGGCTTCACCAAGGGCTAGTCATGCCTGACAAACTTGGTGGCCTCTTATGATGGAGTTACAGCATCAGTGGATAAAGGAAAAGCAACTGACATCATCTACCTGGACTTGTGCAAAGTGTTTGACACTGTCCCACATGACATCCTGGTCACCAAACTTGAGAAAAATTGATTTGACAGATGGACAACTTACTGGATAAGAAATGGTAGGATAGTTCCACACAGAGAGTTGCAGTCAACAGCTCAGTCTCCAAGTGGAGACCAGTGATGAGTGGCATTCCTCAGGGATCGGTGTTGGGACCAGTGTTATTTAACATCTTTGTAGGCGACATGGACAGTGGGATCAAGTGCACCCTCAGCAAGTTTGCAGATGACACCAAGCTGAGTGGTGCAGTTTATGCAATGTAATGGTTTTATGTTTTTTTTTGTTTTCTGGGTTTCAGTATTCCACATCGAAACATCATGTTGTGTATGGGGCGTTAAAGTGTTAATTCCCCCATTCCAGGTACCTATACCTGTACATTACAGAAGTCACGGGATCTGGCCCTTCTGGGTGGGGGGCGCTCTCTTAGTGCCTTGCAGTGGGTGCTGGAGGGTGCTTTCCTAGCTGGTGCAAGCTTTTCAGGTTTGATGTGGTCCCGGGAACTCTCTCATCTTGTCTGATTTATTCATCTCAATTTCAATTAAATTGTATATATTGTGTTATCTTGTATTCCAATATTATAGTAAAATAAGTTTTCCTCCATAGATTGTTGCCGCTGTTCTTTTCCTTCCCTCCTTCCTTCCCATTTTTGTGGGACTGGGGTGGGGGGGGGGGGAGGGCAGAGGCCTGTCGCCCCTGTCACGGACATAGATTGATCTGGTCGACTCCGTAACAGATTTTTGGCGCCCAACGTGGGGCTCGCTACTTTTTAGCTTTTAGAAAGAATCTCTTTTTCTCTCTGCTCTTAGAGAGCTTCGTTAGGGAGCATTATCAGTAGTTCAGGTTTCTGTACTGGAAAACCTGACCTTGAAAGATTAGGCGTACTGCCAGCGTTCTGGGATATTTCTAAACTTTGAGCACTACTTAGTCGGGGTAGTGCTTTTTTTCTTTTTTTTCTTTTTTTTTTTTTTCCCTCCTCTTGTTAGCTTCAATTCATTAACCCCTTTTTAGCAGGCACCACCGATGAACCCACTCGTTATTGTAGGGGTGCTGGGTAAAGGATTAAAAGCAATGGTGTTATTCACAACCTACTGGCCAATAATCCAGAGCACTCTTATGTGTTTTGGAATTGCATCCGTATATAGCTACCTAATGACACTGATGGAGACACCTATATTTTACCTATATGCAATGTGGTACGATTTGAATTTTGACATTTACATCCCAGAAGGAATGGCTAATTTCACAAACAGCTACATCCCAAATGGAATAGCTAATTTTACAAACAACACGATGTTCAGACCAGTCTCCGGGTTTTCTTCTCGGTTTGTCAAACGTTTTTCGAATTTTGAATTAATACTCATGTTGGTGAGCGTGTCATTAAGTTCTCTGATTGTATTCATAATTGTGAATATTAAGAGGAAGGAGTCTCTTCCAAAACTAGAGAATGATGACTGGCAGGGAATATGGAGAGGTTTAGGAAAGTTCTTAGAAGGCATGGGGACCTGCAGTGTCATGGGTTTTTACTCTTGAACACCTGTGGGATCCTGAGAAACTAAGCCAGTATTTGAGTCAGGGACGATGCGGCTTACATAAATCTAAGGAGGTACAACTTAGTTGGGGTTTAGCTTGTGCTTACCGTGCCCTATATAATACCATTCTGGAGAGAGAGAGTTTCCGAGCTGAGGTTCAAGCCAAAGGGGAAAATCCCCAAGTCAAATCTAATCAATCACAGGAGACACCAGGAACAATACCAGTTGCTCCTGTGGAGGGCAAGAAATGGAAGCGAGTGTCTTCACGCCTAGAACGAAAAAGAGAACAAGAGGAGGAGGAGGTGGAGGAAGATCCAGGCGAGGGGCCCTCCTCAGAACCACCACCATCGCAAAAGGCAAAAGGAAAAACTAGGAGACATGCAGAAGAGAGTGATGAAGAGGAAATCTCTATTACTATTCACCAGCCTCTAAAGATGACTGAAATCCAAGGTTCAAGAAAGGAGTTTACACGGCACCCGAATGAAACTCTTGTTTCCTGGTTGGTTCGCTGTTGGGACAGTGGGGCCCATAGCTTGTCTCTGGATGGTAATGAAGCTCACCAACTAGGTGCCATTGCCAGAGATCTAGCTATTGATAGAGGAATTAGTCGATGTTCAGATGAGGCTGCCTCCCTCTGGGAACGAGTGTTAATAGCCGTGAAGGAAAAGTACCCCTTCAGAAATGGCTTGAAGATTGCGATGAAAAAATGGGATACAGTTGAAAAGGGTATCCAGTATTTGAGGGAAATAGGCATGGTGGAAATGTTGTATGACCCTGACTTTGTTCCTAACCACCCACTCTATGATCACAACCCTGAAAAAGAGAGGACGACGCCTGAGATATGGCAGAAAATAGTGACAACAGCGCCGGACAAATATGCCTCTACACTAATGTCAGTGTGTGACAGATACAACGAACAACAGAGAACGCCCTTAGTTTATGAATTAACTGTTACGCTCCAAAAATACGAACAGTTGCTGTCCCCAATTCGTGCGGCCGTGGCTGCTATATCAAAAATGACGGAACAAGTGTCTCAACTGATTAACCATGACAAACCTGTAGCAGTATCAGAGACGCTTGATGAAGATCAGGATAATCAAAAGAGTCTAATGAAGGAGATGAAGGAGATGATGAAATTTATGCGAGCCCACCTAACTAAAGACTATGAACCTTCCTTCTCATGTGCGCCATCAAAAATCTCAGCTGTTAGAGGTAGACGCTCTCCGGCTCAAGTAAGGGATAATACACCGCGAACTGTCTTATGGTATTACCTACGTGACCATAGAGAAGACATGAGGAAGTGGCACCGTGAACCTACTCCTGTACTACGAGCCCGGGTGAAAGAATTACCAGGCAGATCAACCACCAGTGCAGTTGCTCCAGTTACCACAGGTAATGAATAAAGGGGCCCTGCCCTCAGTCGGAGGGGGAAAGGGATAATAGAGTATATTGGACTGTGTGGATTCGATGGCCTGGACATCAGAACCACTGAAATATAAGGCCCTGGTGGACACTGGTGCACAGTGCACTCTGATGCCCTCGAGTCATGAAGGGACAGAATCAATCCATATTTCTGGAGTGACCAGGGGCTCTCAAGAATTGACTGTGTTGGAGGCTGAGATAAGCCTCACTGGTAAGGACTGGCAAAAACATCCTATTGTGACGGGCCCAGGGGCTCCATGTATACTAGGTATTGATTATCTCAGAAGCGGGCATTTCAAGGATCCTAAGGGGTATCGATGGGCCTTTGGAATAGCTGCTGTGGACACAGACAACATTAAGCAGCTGTCTGTTTTGCCTGGCCTGTCAGAAGATCCATCTGTTGTGGAGCTGCTATGAGTAAAAAAGCAACGGGTACAGATTGCTACAAAAACAGTATACAGGCGGCAGTACCGTGCCATCAGGGACTCCTTGCTCTCCATTCATAAGTGGATTCATCAACTAGAGAGCCAGGGAGTGATCAGCAAAACTCACTCGCCTTTAACAGCCCCATATGGCCAGTGCGTCAAGCCAGTGGAGAATGGAGGCTGACGGTGGACTACCGTGGCCTGAATGAAGTCACACCCCCACTGAGTGCTGCTGTGCCGGACATGTTAGAACTCCAATACAAACTGGAGTCAAAAACAGCCAAATGGTATGCCACCATTGACGTTGATAATGCCTTCTTTTCCATTCCTTTGACCAAAGAATCTAGGCCACAGTTTGCTTTCACCTGGAGGGGCATTCAGTATACCTGGAACCGTTTGCCCCAGGGGTGGAAACACAGCCCGACTGTTTGCCATGGGTTGATCCAAAGTGTATTGGAACAGGGCAGTGCTCCTGAGCACCTGCAGTACATTGATGATATCATTGTGTGGGGCGATACAGCAGAAGAATTCTTCATGAAATCAGAGCGATTAATCCAAATTCTTTCTGAGTGCTTGTTTTGCTATTAAGCGAAGCAAAGTGAAAGGACCTGCCCAGGAGATTCAGTTCCTAGGTATAAAGTGGCAAGATGGCCGTCGTCACATCCCGACAAATGTGATCGACAAAATCACTGCTATGTCTCCACCCACTAGCAAAAGAGAGACACAATCTTTTCTCGGTGCAGTGGGCTTTTGGAGAATGCTCGTTCCCAACTACAGCCTCATTGTAAGCCCCCTTTATTATGTGACACGAATGAGAAATGAGTTTACATGGGGTCCTGAGCAACAGCAGGCTTTTGAACAGATTAAACAGGAGATAGCCCGTGTTGTTGCTCTAGGGCCAGTATGGACGGGAAAGGGTATAAAGAACATCCTCTACACTGCTGCTGGAGAGAACGGTCCCACTTGGAGTTTGTGGCAAAGAGCCTCAGGAGAGACCCGAGGCCGACCCCTGGGATTCTGGAGTCGGGCGTACAGAGGGTCAGAAGACGGCTACACTCCAATGGAGAAGGAGATCTTAGCCGCTTATGAGGTGGTTCGGGCTGCTTCTGAAGTAGTCGGTTCTGAAACAGCTCCATCTGGCATCTTGACTGCCAGTATTGAACTGGATGTTCAAGGGAAAGGTTCCCTCCACCCATCATGCGACTGATGCTGCTTGGAGTAAGTGGATTGCATTGATTACACAGTGAGCGCGGATGGGGAACCTCAGCCGTCCAGGAATCCTTGAGGTCATCGTGGACTGGCCTGAAGGTAAAAAGTTTGGAACACCACCGGGGGAAGAAGTAGCTCGTGCTAAAGAGGCCCCACCATACAATGAACTTCCAGAGAATGAAAATAAATATGCCATGTTCACAGATGGATC